TGTGTGTGTGTGTGTGTGTGTGTGTGTGTGTGTGTGTGTGTGTGTGTCCACATAGAAGTGGGTGTGCCAGGATTCCTGGGATTCTGCAGATGATTGACTTCAAAGCCGTTAAATAACTTGGAAACAGTTGTAATTGTAACTTGTTTAGACGGAGAATCAGCAAAGGTTCATGTCTGAGGAGTGTTTTCTTTTCTGGGCATCAAAGTTCAGACAAACGGCTCCTCAAAGAACAATTTAATTCTGTTCATTATCATCATTATTATGATTGTTATTCTCTTCTCAGTGGGAGCCGGTGCAGTACTTCAACAACAAGATCATCTGTGACCTGGTGGAGGAGAAGTTCAAAGGCATCATCTCCATCCTGGTGAGGAGACGCTCCGGTTTCATTTAAGAAAGAAAGCTCACTTATAAGTGTCTTTCTGTGAAACACCTGGAGAACGTAATCAGGTGTCACATTAAAGTTCAACACTTTAGAAAATCACTGACTTGACCCACAAGATAGTTTGGACATCTGAGCAGCTGGAACAAACTGTTTGTGAAAAGGGGCGGGCACTTTCAAAAACACTTGGCAGGTGATTGGATGAACCATCTGTCAATCAAACTCTTGATCCGATTCATGCAAACTCTGACTACGTTCTCCATAACTCTGCATCACGTTGATGTAAACGATGTCGTCCTCCCGTCATAGGATGAGGAGTGTCTGCGACCCGGAGACGCCAGTGACCTCACCTTCCTGGAGAAGCTGGAGGACACCGTGGGAGGACACCCTCACTTCGTCACGTGAGTCTGATTCCCGTCTTTGTCCTGTAATAACGTGGCCAGAGGACGTTTGATCCCATACGTATTGAATATGTGTCCAGTCTACTTACTGGTGTGTGTGTGTGTGTGTGTGTGTGTGTGTGTATGTATTTGTGTGTGTGTTTCCCTGCAGTCACAAGCTGGGTGATACAAAGACCAGGAAGGTAATGGGCCGCGAGGAATTCAGACTGCTGCATTACGCTGGAGAGGTCAACTACAATGTGAATGGTATGTGTATGTGTGGTGCGTGCGTGTGTGTGTGTGTGTGTGCTGCTGTAAACACTGTACATATTAAAATTCTCTCTCTTTAATATGTAACTGCAAACAAGCAGATGAAGCAGAGCAGCAAAACCAGTGTGATGCTAAATACCAATATTTATTTAATACCAGTGTTTCTGCACAGTTGCAGATAAAGATCAGGTTACACTGATATTATTAATATTATAATATTAGTAGAATTAGATTCTAGTGTTTCTGACTCGTGTGATCCAACATGTCCAATAACTTCAGAGCATTAAGTCCAAAAGTTTACACATTTATTGAAAAGATAATCGTGTTTTAAATTCACAATATGTTTTTATTCAACGAAATATTCTGCTTCATTGCGTATTTGTTGGTGTTTAACTTTTTAAAAACTACATTTTCACTGCAGTAAAAAAAACACACATATGTATATGTATATATATGTATATGTATATGTATATATATGTATATGTATATGTGTCCTAGTTTTACCCAAACTGAGCTGAATTTGACATTATTCATAGATATTTCAAAGTAAAAGCCTACCTATGATGTGAGCAATTAAACTGCTGAGGCTTTTAATGTGAAAGAGTTCACATTCTAATGAAGTAATCAAGACAACAGGGAAACATGGAGGACGTGTGGAGTAGATGAGCAGAGACGAAACTATTTGTCTCCATTCAACAGTAGAATCTGACTTTATTGATAATAATCTGATTCCATCTTCTGTCTCTCAGGATTCCTGGACAAGAACAACGACCTGCTCTTCAGGAACTTAAAAGAAGTGAGTTTTAAAATGAACAGGAAGACACAAAACTGTGTTTCTCTGCAGCTGTGTGTTACAGTTGTGTAAAGTTCAGCACTGAGTATAAGTGTGTGTGTGTGTGTGTGTGTGTGTGTTCAGGTCATGTGCCTGTCGGAGAACAAGATCCTGAACCAGTGTTTTGACAAAGAGGAGCTGAGTGACAAGAAACGTCCAGAAACGGTGAGACACGTTGTTGTTTGTGTGTCTTTATTTTCTCCACACTCTCATAAATTATACTCTCATAAATCATAATTCATTCTCTCATAAGTCATACTCTCATAATTCATACTCTCATAATTCATACTCTCATAATTCATACTCTCATAATTCATAATTCATACTCATAATTCATCCTCTCATAATTCATMCTCTCATAAGTCATACTCATAATTCATACTCTCATAATTCATACTCTCATAAATCATAATTCATACTCATAATTCATCCTCTCATAATTCATACTCTCATAAGTCATACTCTCATAAGTCATACTCATAAGTCATACTCATAATTCATACTCATAATTCATACTCATAATTCATACTCTCATAAGTCATACTCTCATAAGTCATACTCTCATAATTCATACTCATAAGTCATAATTCATACACTCATAAGTCATACTCTCATAAGTCATACTCTCATAAGTCATACTCTCATATGTCATACTCTCATAAGTCATAATTCATACACTCATGATTCATGCTCTCATAATTCATACTCTCATGATTCATAATTCATACTCATGATTCATACTCATGATTCATACTCTCATGATTCATAGTTCATACTCTCATGAGTCATACTCTCATGAGTCATACTTTCATAATTCATACTCATGATTCATACTCTCATAATTCATACTCTCATAATTCATACTCTCATAATTCATACTCTCGTGCATCCCGACATACTTTCCCACAGCAATAAACAAACTGTGGTGTGTTTCCCCTCTGCTGTGGAGTGGGCGGTCTGATGGGGATTCTCTGCCGCCTCCCACTCTCTAAAGGAATGCCCTGACACTTGTATGCCCCCCACACACACACACACACACACACACACACACACACACACACTTGAACAAGGCACTGTCACAGGCTGGCCTGTTAGATTCCTCCACACTGGTGCCAGTCACAGTCGAGCTCTTCTTAGCTCTCCATCTCTAGCCGGCGGGATTCGATTTTCGACGTTCCTTCTCCTCCTCATCTCCTACCTGTCCTCCATCCTCTTCACCTTCATCACTTCCTGACCATCTTTTTGTGTCTGCCCCTCCAGGCGGCCACTCAGTTCAAAGCCAGTCTGGCGAAACTCATGGAGATCCTCATGTCGAAGGAGCCGTCGTACGTCCGCTGCATCAAACCCAATGACTCCAAGCAAGCAGGTATCCACTCTGGTTTATTTCTTCTTCTCTTGGTTCTATTAGTGTCCTGAAACTTATCATAGTGAACTACGATCACAAGAGTATAAAAACGGTCTAAAACAACTCAATTCAGATCCCAGAAACAGAAACCTTTCCTGGCTTTTTTCAACATACTCTGACTTTCTCGTCGGTTTTCTAAATCCAGCAGCTTTTATTTTCCCTTTACCTCTGAATAAATCCAATTCAAGGCAACGATGCTGATGACAATATGGTGACGCTCACGAGTATTTCCTTATTGCTGAATTAAGTTGTTGATTAGGTCACGTCCTGGTCGTTTAACACACGACAAGCTGTGACATCTCTGCTGTGATGACGTTCATCCAGCCTTGAACAGTGAAGCCATGAGGCTCTTGTACATTTGTGACTTTATAATCTTCGGAAAAATTCAAGTTTTTTTTCTGGTAAATTTACCATTTTAATCTCTTTTTTTAATTATTATTTTATTATGTAGAATGGTTTTAATACGCCGTCGTAGAAGAAAAGTTTATGGTCCGACATTAAATATTTCAGGTTTTACATTTGGTGCGTTTACTTACATCCAGTCGTCATTTAAGTCGTATAAGCAAACTGAATACCTTATTGTGAAATGTAATCACTGCAAAATACTTTTAAGGTTAAATTTAAATATCACAAAATTGTTACGTCAGTTAAATTTTCTTACTTAAATTAATTTATGCGTTTGGAAATTTCAATTTCAAGTGTCTGACGTTAAAAATAAAACAGTGTTGCTTCAATTCTGTGAGTTTAATGAGCTATTTGACATTCTTTATCTCAAATTGTGGCTGTTGTTTGCTTCCATGTTCTAATAGTTTTCAATGGTTTGGGGCCAGTTTTATGTAACAGTTCTTGTAAACACAGTTGAAGCAGCTTAGCGGCTCCAAACGAGCTGATATTGTCCCAGAAACCTCGAGTTAATCTTGTGCTTGCTCTAATTCCGACCCAAACAGTTTGTTTCTAGCTGCAGTGTGAGTCTCCGTGTGGTCGCCAGTATATCGGGCCGGCCTTTGTTCCCCCCCACAGTCGACCTTTTGTTCCAGTTTCTCTGTGCTTTGTCACTCCTACTTCTGTTGTTTAGCATTTACTGGTTTCCTCCGGTTCATTTCGTCCTTCATATATTTTTCTGCTTCTTTCTCCACCTCTCGTTCCGTCTCAGGTCGATTTGACGATGTCCTGATCCGCCACCAGGTCAAGTACCTGGGTCTGATGGAGAACCTGAGGGTGAGGCGAGCCGGCTTCGCTTACAGGCGGCGCTATGAGGTCTTCCTGCAGAGGTGATCAGATGTTTTTATTTTGTCCAGTAAGGTTCTATCACATGGAAACCCCGTACCAAGAATAGAATCACGTAGATGTGCCCTTCACGTATTCTTGTACTTGAAACCAATATGTCCAGATTAGACACACAAAAAGACACAAACTAGAAGTGTGATTCATTTCCCACAAAGAAGCCCTGATTTGTGAGAGAATGAGTGAAATATTCTTGTGACCTCATTATGAATGAACCCCGGCAGTCTAAGAGTAAATACCTGCTTTACTGTTTGGAATAATTCCTAAACTGTGAATCTTAAAGAGTCAGAGTAGTTTACGTGATTACGATGATTTGTGCTGAAGAAGCTAACCTTTGGAGATTCATTCCTGAAGTCCAGTATTTACTTGTGTTTCTGTGTGTTCAGGTATAAGTCTCTGTGTCCGGACACGTGGCCCAACTGGGAGGGGAAACTGTCTGATGGAGTGGCCACGCTGGTCAAACACCTGGGATACAAGCCTGAGGAGTACAAACTGGGCAGGTCAGCAACACACAAACCATCATCTAGTACAAGCTTAGAGTCACTGTGAGGACTTTTATCTGGTCCTGAACCAGACTCGGTGTAGTCCTGATCCTCTATCAGACCCCCATCAGTAAAGAGACCATCAGAGAGAAGATGGTCTATTTCTATAGAGTTATCCTTGATGCTCGTCATCGGAGCCACCGGGTCAGATTCTGGTGAAATCGGATGAACTCATGCAGGTTCACCAGAACCTCCTTCAGCTCAGACTCCAGCAGAGACCGGTCCACCGTGGACAGACCCAGATCCTCCAGCAGAGACCGGTCCACCGTGGACAGACCCAGATCCTCCAGCAGAGACCGGTCCACCGTGGACAGACCCAGATCCGGCTTCACCTGCAGTAGTAAAATGAGAGGTTTTTTAAAGAGACTCTGGTGCACAGAAACATCATCGTCCACATGGAGCTCCAAAATCAACACAAAATAAAAGTTCCTCGTAGTAGTTTTAAGAAGTAGTGCTGAATGTCTTTTTAAACATGCATCCTTCTGCTTTTTCTTGAGCCTGAACTGAACTTTAAAGTATATTTATGATTAAGCACGTTTCACCTTTTACTCAATCTTTTAGATCCAAGATCTTCATCCGATTCCCAAAAACCTTGTTTGCCACCGAGGAAGCACTTGAGACCAGGAAACATAGTCTTGGTGAGAGCCGCTGACACTACTGACGATTTGTGCCGAATACTTTCATCATCGCCACGAATTTAAACCGCTTGTCTCTTGTTTTTTCTTCTCTTTTTTTTCACCCAACAGCCACCAAGCTGCAGGCCGGATGGAGAGGCTACAGCCAAAAGTCCAAATACCAAAAACTCAGAACCTCAGGTGAGGAAACTTACTCGCATCTCCACTGGGATCGTTTTGCTTTTTCTCCTGCTAATGTAATTTTAGAGTTCGCCTGCAACCGTTTCTCTGTGTGTTGACTTGTATTTATTTGTGATTATGTGTAAACTTGCAGCTATTGCCGTCCAGGCGTGGTGGAGAGGGATCCTGGCCAGGAGGAGAGCGCAGCGCAGGCGAAAAGCTGCTGATGCTATCCGCAGGTACGAGACCAGCAGACGGCTCAAACACCGTGTGATTAATTTACCTTCATGACGGAGCTAAAGTATGATTCCTTCTCCTTCTCCTCAACCCTACAGGTTCGTCAAAGGCTTCATCTACCGCCACAGAGAGCGCTGTCCGGAGAACGAGTACTTCCTGGACTACGTGCGCTTCTCGTTCCTCATGAAGCTGCGCAGGAACCTGCCCAAGAACGTCCTGGACAAGAGCTGGCCGACACCTCCGGCTGCTCTCACTGAGGTGAGACGACGCAACACACGCAGTTCTGCGCAGGCACCTCTTGTCACCAATATCACTGATACTCAGTAGACGGGTACCAATGATGGTTTGGGAGCCCTCTCGTCCTGTGCCGTGCTCCATGTTGGTCTGTAATGTTTGCAGTCAGGATGCTTTCTATTGCTCCTCTGTTAAAAGTGAACAAGAACTTGGCTCGTGAATTTAGTCTTCTTAAGTTTCCTTAAGAAATAAAGCCGTTTATGAGCTTTGTTCACCAGGATGGAGACGTGTGAGGACCACGTCAGGTTGTTTGTGAAGCTGATTCACAGGAACTTAAAGCTGATAACTTGCTTCACCTCAGCTCCATTGATGCAGACAGAGGTGTTCGTCTTCGTTTCCTTTTTTCTGAAATCAACAATCAGCTCCTTGGTTTAAAAAAAAGAAATTAATAGATTAATGTGAAATCTATTCAAAGTGTGTCATCAGTATCAGTTCATGTTATCGGACTCTTATTTACAGCCGGTAGAGTAAAAAACTATGTGATCAAACCGCATGATATCCATCATTTTAGAAGTATTGAGACTGTTTTGCATTTTAAAAGGTGAAACTTTAATAACGTGACATAGCCAGTATGTATCATGACTCCTGTTACATACGGCACAACACTGTAAAGGGAATGTTTTTGTCTTTAGGCTTCAGAACATTTGCGTAAGCTGTGCATGCAGAACATGGTGTGGAGCTACTGCAAGAAGATCAGTCCCGAGTGGAAACACCAGGTGAGTTTAGTCTCTTCATGACCCGACTCTCAGGTCTGCTGCTTCTTTCTTCTACGTCACCGTTATCAACTCTGTTATCTGAACAGATGGAGCAGAAGATGATCGCCAGTGAGCTCTTCAAGGACAAGAAGGACAACTACCCGCAGAGCGTGCCCAAACTGTTTGTCAGCACCAGACTCAGTGAGACACTTTTAAAATCCGTACAGGCTTTTCATGTTGCTCTCTGTGTGAAAAGATCTCAGCATTGTGGTCTCCTCTTTGTTTAGACGGAGAGGACATCAACCCCAAGGTGGTGCAGGCTCTGGGCAGCGAGAAGATGAAGGTGAGTGGAGCACAGTCACAGAAGTCTCAAAGGGTTTGAAAGAGAGTTTCTGACCGGCGTCCTCTTCTGATCCGCAGTACGCAGTGCCGGTCACCAAGTACGACAGGAAAGGCTACAAGGCTCGGCCCCGCCAGCTGCTGCTCACCTCCAACTGCGCCGTCATCGTGGAGGAGGCCAAACTCAAGCAGCGCATCGACTACGGAACTCTGAAAGGTCAGAGGTCAACAGACAGTCGGGGTTGTTTGTTTCTGGGCGTTGGCGCTCGTTTACGGAGTTACTTTTGTGTCTTTATTATTCCAGCCGAGGGCAAAACTTCCCACACAATTAATGGCAAGTTAAATAAATGTTTTGATTAAAAGTGTAACTCCAAAACCCTCCGGCGGGATTGGAAAGCAAGTTTTCTGGTAAAGATTTTCCAAAAATTAACCGTTTATCACAGCCAGAAACTTTAAAAATAGCAACGTTATGGTCAGATTTTCATCTTTCCGACGGTCCTTGAACACATCATGTGTGACGAACACTTCCCTCAGGAAAAGAGACCACATTGAAGCTTTAAATTGTGATATTTAATTTAACAAAACACCCAAATAAACAGTTTGCTTGAATCAAATCCTGTGAAAAAACATTAAATTCTGAGCTCCTCTGTGCAACTATGAAGTTGACCATTGTTGGTCTCAGACAAGTCAGTCACGTGACAAAAACTCTGTGAAACTGGCTGAACTGCACTTGTGAACACTTGGAAAAATATTAGATAGATAGATTCCATTGTTTTCCAGCTTTTGTGAAACAAATCATCAAAGAAATTCAACTAGAGAGCAGAGGAGCAGGTCTTAAATATTGAAGTGAAGAACGAGGCCACAGTGGCTCATCAAGTGTGTCCGTCTCCTGCAGGTATCTCAGTGAGCTCTCTCAGCGACGGCTTGTTTGTTCTGCACGTGCCCAGTGACGACAACAAACAGAAGGTAAAAAAACAAGGACTTCACGTCAAGCAACCAGATCTCTTGTGGTTTTTATATGTTTGTGTCAACATGTTTGATGGTTTCTTCTCAGGGAGACGTGGTTCTGCAGAGCGACCATGTGATCGAGACCTTGACCAAGATAGCGATCTGTTCCGACAAAGTAAACAACATCAACATCAACCAGGGAAGGTGAGGATCTGAGGATCACTTAAAGTCACTGTGAGGAACTTTTAACTGGTCCTGAACCAGTCTCAGTGTAGTTCTGGTCCTCTATCAGACCTCCATCAGTAAAGAGACGATCACAGAGAAGATGGTCTGTTTCTATAGAGTTACTCTTAATGCTCGTCATCGGTGCCACCGGGTCGGATTCTGGTGAAACCAGATGAAATCATGCAGGTTCACCAGAAAGTCCTTCAGCTCAGTATTGACATATTGCTGGACCCGCTGGAGGGAAGGGAGGCACGGGAGAACAAGAACCAGGACTGAGAATTCCTCGTAGTAACTTTAAGGAAAGCTTTTTATTGTGTGTGTGTGTGTGTGTGTGTGTCCTCGCATAACGCTAACGTCAGTATGTAAATGAACCTCTCCTCCTACACACTGTCTAACCTTCCCTCTGCTCCTCCTCCAGCATAACGTTTACAGTGGGTCAGGGGAAAGAGGGGACCATTGACTTCACGCCCGGATCAGAACTGCTGGTGGCCAAGGCTAAGAACGGACACCTGTCTGTGGTGAGTGATGAAAACTCTTTAGACTTTCAGAGCGACGTTGTTTGAAGAAACAGAGCCTTCTGTTTTCTATATGCGTTAACGAACGGGTGAGTTAACGTGGATGAGAGAAAAACTTAAGTATAAAGCTAAATACTGTAACAGTATTCCTATTAATATTAATTTACCCTATCAATCAATACATCCGTGTTGTTCACAATATAAGTTGTTGTTGTTGTTGTTGTCCCCTGACGTGATGTTTTTCTCCTCTAAATGTCTTCAGACGGCTCCCAGACTGAACTCCAGATGATGGACTCCCATCTTCCAATCACACGCCAGCAGACCCTGCTCTGCCTAAGCCAATCAGACGCCAGCTTGTCACCTCATTGATGGCATGTGCTTCCAATTAAAAAATAAATTTAAAAAACAATTTAAAAAAAAAAGAAAGAAATCTAGCTAAACTAATTGATATATTTATGTTTATATATTATATTTTTGGGGGAGTTAATACTGTTTGAATATTCTGATTTTATATATGAGGCCAAGGAATAACAAATATTTTTGGTGCACTTTTCTTGCACCGCGTGTGTTTATTGTGCTTTTATTTTGGAAAATGACCAAGAAAACAATGAGGGACGAGTCAAGAGTCAATGTTGTTGATGAAAATCAGGGTTAGTTGTTGCCTGTTGCCTCTTTTTTTTTTTTTTTTACTGTTTTCTGCCCGTTTTACAGGATTAATTGCTGACACGGCGTTTTCTAACTGGGGTGGACGATTATTGTTGTTGAAGGCTGACGGTATGTAGGAGAGCTGTTTAGAGGTGGATGAGGAAGTGTCCAGATGTGGCTCACTAAAAAAAAACAGAATAAACAGTTTGATGTACTACTGAATATAATACACAAATCTATGTGTGCAGTGTTTGAATCAGAAAGCTCGTCGTGACGGATTCACTGCGTAAAAACAGAGAAATCGAGAGAAAGATGAAAGAACGCAGCGGTTTATTTGCCTTGACGCCGGTGCTCGTGCCTTTTGAATGAGTGGAGTTAAGTGTAGATGGTAAAACCCCGTCGTGCTCTTGACTGTACAGCTTCTTTCATTTTGTTGAGAACCACATGACCTGCTGGGACCTTAAAGGCCCCCCCCAGCATCTGCCTCTGTAGTCGGGTACATTTCCTCTCTGAAGTGGGGCTTTGGCTGAACTGGTCTGATAGCTTCATGGGATTTATGTGTGTTAGTATAGAGCGCAAAATATGTCTTCTTCCGGGAACTTATTTCATAAAATGAAAAATATGTTCCATAGTCAACGGTGAGGGACAAATATTTTTTATTTTTGAATTGTGCCATGAATGACTTCGCCTCTCTACTCAATATATCTCTCCATTTCTACAATTCTATGTCTTTGAAACTGCATTTAGACCAAATTGTAAAACTAAAACTCACAATTTGAAACGATTTCATTGAACTTTTGGTGTACTTCAAATCTGGGTTTAGCTAAAAACAGCAGTTTAAGATTGAAACTAATAATAGCTACGTATTGTCTCAATGTTAGCGATGTTTAAACGTGATGTTTTAAAAGGAATAGTTAGGAATAGACAATTTGGGAAATGAATAATTTTCTTGTTTAGAGTTAGATGAAAAGATTTATACCACTCTTATTGTCTGTATGCTAACTATGAAGCTACAGCCAGGAGACTGCTAACTTAGTTTAGGGAGAAACAGCTAGCTTGGCTCTGTCCAACAGTCTACAAAGGCTAGCTGTTTCCAGTCGTTATGCTAAGCTAAGCTAACTGAAACTGCAGTTAGACCACATTGTAAAACTAAACTTCACAGTTTGTAGCCTTGTTATTGAACGTTTGGTGTACTTAAAATCTGGGTTTAGCTAAAAAAAACAAAATAGTAGTTTAAGATTGAAGCTACTAATTGCTAAGTATTGTCGAAATGTTTGCGATATTTAAACGTGACGTTTTAGATGCAATAGTTTTAGAGCACTTAGAGTTAAATGAAAAGACTGATACCACTCTCATTGTCTTTATTCTAACTATGAAGCTACAGCCAGGAGATTGCTAGCTTAGCTTAGGGGGAAACCGCTAGCTTGATTCTGTCCAACAGTCTACAAAGGCGTTATGCTAAGCTAACTGTCTCCTAGCTGTAGCTTCACATTTAACGCACAGATATGAAAGTGTGATCGGTGATACAAGTCACGTAAAAAGTCAAACTTTTTCCTTTAGTGACGTAAAATATAAACATTCAGAGCCTTTTCCAGAATTTTGTCTTTTTCAGGGTAGAAAACGCATTTAAATCGTCACGCAACACTAAAATACATCATAACAGTAGAATATTTAGGCAAATATCACACCAGTTCAGATTAACGGCCTCCTTTAGAACAGTTCTATCTTAAATATCTCTAACTTTGACCAAAGACTGAATCCTAAAAAAGGTTGTCATTGAAAACTTTTGAGAGGAGCTCCAAAATGTTTTATATTTTATTTTTATTGTTCTTTTTGTTCTTACATAATGACTAAACTTTTTCTTTGGGTTTGCGAGGCGGTTGCAATACTCCCTGTCAGGACACACTAGCCAAATATCCCATTGATTTCTAGTGATTCTGTTTGTATGATTTATATGATATTATTGTCAGTTCTGAATGTGTTGTTGTTTTCAGGAGGGAGATCTATATGTACAGTTTGTGTTCTGTGTTATAAAACGAGAGAGTCAAACCAAGTGAGGTTTTGGATGTGGAAACATTTTTGGGAGGAAAAACAGCTTCTAATTATTGTTTTTGTCGACGCAAACTTGTTCACGTGCCTTGTCGGACAGCAATACAACAGATATATTTTGTGGAGAGAAACTACGTCCTCGCCAGTTTTTTTTTTTTTTTTTTTTTCCCCAGCAGCACCTTTCCTCCCTCTGTTTGTGTGTATAAAGCTTCATTCAAAACCAAGAAGTTTGTCCGTTGATTTTACAGATGCACTCCTGTTATCAGACTTACTGTATGCACCAAACCAATGTAGAGTTATACCAACACACTAAAAGATGAGATACTAAAGATTTGAGAAATAAATTTTAAAAAAGTAAAAGACTTTGCTTGTTTATTTCGTCGTCTCTGTTCAGCTGTGTGTGTGTGTGTGTGTGTGTGTGTGTCCTTGTGTCTAATTAAACTTTTGATTTATACGTTTACAAGCATCTTAAGATTGAAGCTACTAATAGCTAATTATTGTCTAAATGTTAGCGATGTTTAAAAGTAGCGCTATAAAACAAATAGTTTGTCATTTGGGGGATTAACTCACTTTTTAACCTAGACTTAGATGAGAAGATTGATACCACTCTCATTGCCAGTCTTTATGCTAACAAGCTACAGCCAGGAGACTGCTAGCTTAGCTTAGCTCAGGGGGGGGACAGCTAGCTTGGATCTGTCCAACGGTCTACAAAGGCAAGCCGTTTCCAGTTGCTATGTTAAGCTAAGCTAACTGAAACTGCTTTTAGACCAAATTGTAAAACTAAAACTTCCAATTTTAAGCCTTGTTATTGAACTTCTGTTTAAATCTGGGTTTAGCTAAAAGCAGTAGCTTAAAATTGAAGCTACTAATAGCTAAGTATTGTCGAAATGTTAGCAATGTTTGAATGTGAGGAATAGTTTCACATTTTGGGACATAAATATATGAAAAGGTTGACACAGCCCTCATTGTCTTTATGCCAACAAGCTACAGCCAGGAGACTGCTAGCTTAGCTTATTTTAGATTAGGGGAGAAACAGCTAGCTTGGCTCTGTCTACAAAAGTGTTATGCTAAGCTATGCTAACTGTCTCCTAGCTGTAGCTTCACTTTTAACAGATATGAGACAGAGGTTGTCTGCCTGCACGTTCACTATAAATGTTAATTTATTGCAGGTTCGACTAAAGGGTTTAAAGTATCAGCACTTTCCCTTGAGTCTGAGTACTTATTCTACCAGTGTCCACCAGTATAAAGTATGAAGTTGCTTAAAGCGGCCACTAGGTGTCGCCCTCGGTGCGAACATTTTGCTCACTGGTTGTTTTCTCTCCACCGGACCATGTGCTCTCCAACCCTCTCCTGAACTTCATAGGAACTACATGTTTGGTTATGAAGCTGGAAGTAAACAGCTGAGTCACCTCTCAGGACAAACGGGATGATTTATACCCTCTTATGAAAGCCCTGTTTTTTAAAGGTTGTTATTGGGTTGCAAGAAATTCCAAATCAGAACAAAAGAGGTGTGACTTTAAAACAAAACTCCACAAATGCAAAACAATAATAGTTTATTTTTATAAACATATAAACTGTCTCACTGATCTTTCTGTTATTGTTATTATTGCCTTTTGCTGCTCTGTCTGTTAAAGCACTTTGTAAACTCTGTTTTTAAAGGTGCTATATCAATAAAGTTGTTATTGTTGTCATATTCACTTCATTGCTTATGTTTCAACATGCATCCCATAATTATCCTCCAAACATACATAAGTGAACGACCCCCCCCCCCCCCCTCTTTTTTTATCAGTACTAAGGAACAACACACATGTAACACTGCCTCGCTCTGATTGGCTCCGGCGGGTCTCTAGCTCAGCCACGGGCCAATCAGCGCGCTGTGTTGTTTGTGCGCGCCTCTCCTGCGCTGCTATAAAGCTCCAGAGCAATGAGGGATGAAAGAGAGAGAAAGAGTGATTCAAAGACACACAAAAAAAGACGCAACCATTGCTTTTTGTGACTCCACCACCACCATCTGTGTGTGTTGTTGTCGCCGAGGAACATTTGGGACATTTGGGAGATTTGACTGAGCGGCTCTATTGTCCTCTGAATCCACAGACTCAGGTAGGTCCGCACCAAGGATGCTTCAGGCTGACTCATGTGGGTTCATTCTGCAGGAATCAACCGGCTCACAATAACACGGAGCGTCATTCTGCAGCAGAGTGCTCTCTTTATCTTTCATTTTATAAATTTCTTCCTCTCTCTCTCTGTGTTGTTGTTTCTTTGTTGAATGACTGCAGAGGAAGAGCTGCAACAGCCTCAACTTTAAGGTCATCGGGGTTGTTTTTCTTTTCCCCCTTTGATCTTTTTGGTAAATCGTGTAAATGTACCTGCAAAAAACAACGCAAATAACATGCATATGCACATGCAAATGACATATTATTAGATTAGATGAGTTGTTACAGTTTATTTCAGTCTTTATCTTCCGTTTCCCCCTTTTTATGTCGCTCGTTCATTGCTGCCATGAAAGTTATGATTTAATGTTCTAGAATAAAAGCGGTGGTGATGTCACAGAAGCAGCCGCGAGGCCGAGGCTCGTGCGTGTGGACACTCGTTTTGTCAACATGTTTTGGCTTCTTTAAATTAACTCTCTTTGTTTCAAGCGATGATGGTAATCCCCCCCCCCCCCCCGCCCCAACAGTTACTGTTGTTGATGCTGAACAGCTGAGCGCCTCTTGCGTACATGTGTCTCAAGTTGCCGGGAAACAACGAGTGTGAAACCGGAAATGTGCGGATACTGTCTTCAGAATAAAAGCATAAACCATGCAACACAACATTCACTTTCTTAAAAGTATTCACACCAGTTGTCTTTGTTCAGGAAAAGGCAAACGTCCTCCATCAATTCCACGTCCCTTTTTATTATATATATATATAGCTTATATACGTGACGTGTATGGCCTACTATTGAGTAATGTAGATGGAGATAAATTATGCTTCACTCGTACTGTTCTTTTTATTTGATCATCTTTTTTTCTTTACTATATTATAGTGGTAATTGCCTTTGCTTTATCTACGTTGATTTTTTTTCCACTCGTAAAACCTTCATGAAGCGGTCTTCCGACTTTTATTCTGAAAATAACCGGAACACTGATGTTTTGATCTCGTTTAGCTTGACTCTTGCTAGTAGATGCTAGGGATGCAGATTAGGGTGGGAGGTGTGCGTGTGTGCGTGTGTGTGTGTGGAGGGGGCCAGACGATTTCAGTCCAGTTCATACCAGTTCCACTGCTTCATGTCTGTTAGTGACGTGATGCTATTTGCTCACTTTTTTTCAATACATTGTTAATTTTTATTTTTTTAACATTCAAAATAGACGCCATTTTTATTTACACTATGGTTTACGTGTTTATTTTAATTTAAATGTTGTATTAATATTCATCATTTTATCCGGGGCCAGTTGTTCTACAAACAGATGTATCGGAGCATCATCACAGGAGCGCGAGAGACAGTATAACGCGAGCGCTGGCGGTTAAGTAACACCGACAATCTCGCGCCGCGCTGGTTCGAACCGGCTGGAGCTTCGCGCTGCGTTCAGTGTAGTGGGGTTTTCCTGTAAATGCACACTTTGTTTTCACCAAAACTGCTTTTGTCACACTCGACAGACACGAACTTTAACAGTGAAACATTTACGTTTATGTTTAAATACAGAGGAAAATAAAGCAGGTACAATCATAACCTGTTGATGCATTTTTAAAACATCAAATTAATGTAGGCTAAAAGTATTTTTTAAATTTGTAATTTGCTCACATCGAAATTTAAATAGCTGGAGTTTATGAATATAAAATGTCCAGCATCAAAAATTCTCTGTTTTTTTTAAAGCCCAACAGAGACACTATTTTCTGCCATTACAGCCCCCGATAACACTTTTCCCCCACAGGGTGTGAATGCAACATCAACCTCACGTGTAGCTGCTGCACGAGCTATGTCACTAGCAGCCAATAGGAGTAGAGTTGCTAAACCCTAAAGCCAATCAGATACGCTTGGGGGCGGGAGTTAAAAAAAAAAAAAATTCATTGGAGAGGTTTTACATTCACATCAAAGGCCTCAGCTGTTTTCTGTTTGTGTGAATCTTCATCTAGACCACCATCATCATCATCATCATCATCATCATCAGAAGACACGAACAAAGAAATGTTTATGATTCATCCAAAACACTATTATAAGATCAAGTAGCTCCTAGTTGGAACAAGAATCTGCTTTATTAAGCCAAGTGTGTGTTATGAAACATAGATAAACAATAAACACAGTGCAATTAAAAGACATCATTTAGAAATAGAAAACATGATAGTTTACAATGTTTGTTATGAAACAAAGAAGGAATTTTGAGTTGCTCTCAAATGTGTACATTTTCAGAAAAGGGTTTATTTCGAAGTAAGTTACACATAAAAGGAATTTGGTTTGGGGGTTGATGCTATTTGTTTATAGTATGTGATAATATAAATAAATATAAATAAAACAGCTGAAGTTCCCAGTGAGCTATATAAAGTCATCTGGCATCATTTTCAATATTGAACCCCCCTGTCCTTGTCTTCCAGGCTCCAGCAGCCTCCCTCTCCTCCAGTCAGGAGGCCCAGTGACGTACCTCCTCTCCACCAAGCCAACATGGCTCCCACCCTGGCCACGGCCTTCTCCCGCCGCTGGTGGATGGCGGTGACGGCAGTCATCGAGAACTTACTCTTCTCCGCCGTGCTGCTGGGCTGGGGGTCCCTGCTCATCATGCTGAAGTCGGAGGGCTTCTACTCCTACCTGTGCGAAGGGCCGAGTGAGTAAAGCTTTATACTGATATCAAAAACATGCCACCGACATTACCCACAATGCAACGCTGACTGCCGACAGATTGTTGAGAGATTGGGCCGCTAGTAGCAGCTAGCGTAGCTACAGACGTCTCACTTCTCTCTTACTCCAAACCTCCACATTTTAGTCTTTCGGTCGTCAGCCCCAACCGACGTTGCCTCAAGTGACATCACTTGAGGTGGGCTTCAATGTCAAAACATTTGATCCCACCCACCGTGGGATTTGATTGGTTAAACTGTTGAATTTGGGTAGAATGTAAACGTTGATTGTGATTAGATGCTAGCTGTGGAAAACCCATTATTTCCAATGGCTGGCGCGACGCCACGTCGGCTTTTTGCTGCATCCAGCAAGGTGTGCCGCTCACCGCGGTTAGCTCAAAGCTAAAGCTAACCTAAGTATACCATCACAGAACCAATAGCAATTGTGGAAAAATATCCAATTACGTTTGAAATGCGAAATCAAAACTTTTCCAGGACACTAAAAACAAGTTAACTACTGAGCCGGCGGCTAGCAGCTAACAGCGCAAACAATAGCAACAGTGCTAAGATATCTGTCTTTCTATGGTATCACTTAGAGGAACTTATTGTACGTAATAACAATAGTCAATCTTATTCGTCACTTGCTCCACTGATACTACTTTCACTACTACTACTGCTAGTATACATGAACACATTTGTGATGCAAAGACACTACATGTAGCGTCTCTCAGCCACGGACGGCCTCGTTCTGGTCTTTCTGCAGTTTGAATTTAGATGTTAATGAGACGACTTTACATGAGTATCTCTGAGTATTCAAAAGCTTTCAACAGGCTGATTGTGACACTCTGAGTGGGTGTGTTGGAATTATGGAGATTTAAGACCATGCAAACAATCAAAAGGCCCCTTTTTTTGGTCCGGTTTCACCTTAAAAACAATACAAAAAGATTGTTATTGATCCAACAGATGGGAGTCAAAAAGTCAATATGCCAGCAGCAAAAAAAAGGCTCCGAACAAGCTTCAAAAGCAGCCGGTGATCCCGTATTTTATTATTATTTTACTCTCCTTGATCAAAGGTGGTGCAGGGAGCTGCTGCATTCAGCCAGCAATCATTAGTTACCGTCTTTATGACACAAAATTGCTTCTGCTCTGAAGATCAAGCCGGGTTGAGAACTATAGCCGGGATTTTTTGGTAACCACTCATTTTCATATAAAAGCAATGTGGGTCAGGTTTTAACGCAACAAGGTGCTCAGAATGCATGTGTGAATGAGACCTATCATGCCTTTATTCTCCTGTTTTTTAGTCTTTCTGATCATCTCATTGTGTCTCTGTTTTCAACAAAGAGAGCAGTGATGAAAGCCTTTCGGCGATATTATCGCACATTCATCCGTTCACATGACGCCCACCTGAGAGCGCTATCGTTGTCACTGCAGGTCAAAAACATGAACTCTCATTTCTCCGTCCATCAGCGGATGCAGCGCCGTTGAATCCACCACGAATGGAAGCTGATAATCCATCTATGTTTTATTATAGCCTGTTTATCTGATTGGATTAGGGTTCGGGTGTCTCTTGCCGTTGACTCAGCTCTTTCCACGCTGACCTGCTAAGTGGTGCTGAATCAGCAGGTTTTTTGTGTGTCTGGAATCAGGTCAAGAAGGTGTTTTTGTGTGTTTTTACTGGACATTGTGGTCAATGTGTTTGATTGAAGTAATGTTGTGACATTTTTGACACTGCTATTGTTGTGGAGCCTTTTTTATGCATGAAGTCGTGAAAAGATCATATTTTTAAAATGACATCTTGAAAGTAGAGACCGCACCAGCGTTGACGCCAAATGGGCCAAATCTAAAGCGGTTTAAATGTAAGTGGCGGTGGGACAAAATCCACCGTTTTGTTCAGTGCAAAAATGAGTTCGTTCATCTGAAGCTCTTTGAGGCTCCAACCCAGTCGCCAGAATGAAATGTTTGCATTGTAGATAACTATAGATATGTTGAATCTGCACCATAAAAAACAGCCTTTTTATATTAACATTTCTAGATAAGGATTTGTCAACTTTTTTCAGTTGTGACATTTTTGACATTGTGGAGAACTCTGCAAAAAAGTTGAGCCCTACCGCGTTACTATTGTTGCTAACTAATCTGTTGGCTAAAATTCTGCACGACAGTAAATAAGAATAAAGCAAGAATATACAGATTGTTAAATGAAAAAGCAACATAGTGTCTTAAGAGGCTGCTGTTCCACCACCATTTTCTTTAACGCGAGGTGTGATTGTCACAAAGCTCTCTCTTGAGCCACAAAAGGTTTATACAACTTCTTTTTTTCCCCACAGTAGTGCTCCTTAAAAGTAGACTTTGATATGTAAAATTGGTGGTTTATGTAAGATTGTTTTTTTTTGCATGTACTAAGAGTTTCTGTTCCCCGCTGTGGCTTTTGGTTTTGAAGAACATGTGTTAGTGAAACTATACTCTCCCACGGTTGGTTGGTTGGGTGTGTGTGTGTGTGTGTGTGTGTGTGTGTGTGTGTGTGTGTGTGTGTGTGTGTGTGTGTGTGTGTGTGTGTGTGTGTGTGTGTGTGGTCGGGGCTCTTCCCTTATTGATTTGGATTCGCTGCAGCTGTTTGATTAGTCAGCAGCCGAGGAGCCGGGGGACAGATACTGTTGCTTTCTTCTTATAGTCCAAAAATATAGAAAAAATATATTTTTTACTGGAGCACTTAATGCTCCAGTACTGAGAGGGAAGAGCAAATAATCTCCATACTGATGGAGATGTTCGGTCACAAAGCTAGTCAGGCTAGATTGTCGTTAGCAGTGTTGTTAGCAACGCCGCTTAATGGATTGGCATGACTTTTTGTACAGATGTTTATCACGGACAATCCCGTTGTTTTCCCATAGACCGCTTTGTGTACTTGAATACTACGCATCATAGTGGAGCTGAATGACCTTTAATAAAAGCCCACAGATCATCATAGCTCTGCATCCTCGCGTTTAAATCGAACCAGTCCTTTCTGCAACTGCTTGTTTTGAAACATTAAAAAAAACCACTTACATCAGAAGGTCATTAAGCCACTTTACCTTTCACCTACTTACATCCTCACAGGGCTCGGGCGGCCAATTCTCTGCACCAGGATGCACTGAACATGATTTAATAACTTCCTAAATTCTGCCCTCAGCCCAGAGACCTGCATCAACACCTCCTCTATCTTGCTTTAACTTAAGCTGGCCCAACAGCGGCACTACATTTCACAGGGGATCAGATCCTCAGCTGTGCTGTTTATTAGATGCAGCAGAGATTAGCTGTTGCGGGACAACTTGCCCCGAAGTTCTGAAATGATAAGTACGTGTTTTACGCCTCCCTCCCTCCTCCAGATATCTATCATGTTGAGTCTATTGTTCTCCCGGCGCTTTGACCAAAAACAAGTCACGGTGAGGGAGGATTTCTCTCTGTCTGTTAATACCAGCAGAGTTTCACCGTAGGCAACAGTCTAATAGAGCAGATAGACGAAAACAGACGGAAATAGACTCTGCATGAACTCAGTGGATTGTGTTTACCAGTGATTCAGCAGGGAGGCCGGCCTGTCTGTGTGAAGCTGTTACAGAGAGTTCCCCTCCGCCATGCAGGGGTTCAGTTGCGACCATATCTGGGCGCCTGTTTACCCTGCATTGTGTTGTTTTCCCTCCGGTTGGTTTACTTGACCTTTAATGAGTCTCCTGGCTTTCTGGATCAGCAGCTCTGCTCTACAGACAGAGGGAGGGAGTGGGGGGGAATATAGTTCAGCTCAGGCCTCAAAGAGCCACATTAAAAAATGGAAAGAGGGCATTTCACTTAGACCACATGGGAAACCTCTAGAAGGACAATATACCAATTTAAAAGCACTTCATTACATGCAAAAGTTCAAAGTAAAAGTATCCTAATATATTTACAGAATGTTCTCTTATTGATTATATCATATGATTGGGTTATTATTAATGACGCATGAATGTATGAGCAGCATTCTGATGTGGCAGTCTGAAGTGGAGTCAATGTATTTGCCTTTAATCTCTAACAATGCTTCATATTGTATATAAAGGTTGTATATTTTGATGTAAACAACAATAAGAGGCTACAGCCATGCTAGCTTCTGCGGCCCTTTAAGCTAAATGCTATATTACTACATCTTATTAACTGTTGAGTCACTGAGCAGCCATCTTGGATTTTGAGGCAGGGGTTGGTGGAGACTTGCTGAGTCAGAAATTCCGTTTCCACTTTCAGAATTAGACCAAAGTGCAGAATCGCACCATTGTACTGTATGTAAATACATTCCACCACTGAATACAACATGTCACAGACTGGACAGGTTGTATGCAAATAATAGCATACGTCATTGTTCATTGTCATTTAGATAATTGCCGCAGCTGTAAGATAATAAAGTCTTTTTCCTCTCCACTCTCATTTTTCTTCACCATCCAGAAAACAGCTCCAGCCTCAACCTCTCCAACACGTCCACCTCCGCGCTGCCCGATTCTGAGGAGTACTTGGACATGAACGGGTGGCCCATCTGCAAAGACCAGGACGAGATGCTGAACCTGGCCTTCACCGTGGGCTCCTTCCTGCTGTCTGCCATCACCCTGCCAATGGGCATCGTCATGGACAAATACGGTCCACGGAAGCTACGACTTCTGGGCAGGTGAGAAAATCAGTTTTTCCACTTTAAGATGATATAAAATTGGACGGTTTATTGTCTGTTTGGTTATATTTATTGGCATTGCTTTGTGTTTCCCAGTGCCTGCTTCGCCTTCTCCTGCCTCCTCATCGCCTACGGTGCCAATGATCCCAACAGTACGTATCATGTCATCATGCCTCGCACTTTAATCAATCAGACTTGGTGTCAGCAGTTTAACCTTGTCTCTAATCTGCTCTTTCTCCTGCAGATCTGTCCATCCTCATCTTCTTTGCTTTGGCGATGAACGGGTTCGGAGGAATGTGCATGACCTTCACTTCTCTCACAGTGAGTATTAAAGCTTCACTAAGATTACAATACAGTATTTTTTTCAGATTAAACATCTAACAAACATATGCCCTCTAGAATTTAGTTTTTATAAATCTTTAAGTAAATCTTTGTGCTGTCAATCAATGGAAAACCATCTTGAGAGCACTGACATTTGAGCCGGAGAGGCCAAAATTGAGGACGCTATTGTCTTGTTTTATACAACATCGCTCTGCCAGAGTACAAACTACTCCACAAAACATATAAAAACATTATAATGTGTTAACAAAATAGATCTGAATATACATTCTCTTTAGTTATTGTTTTTGCCTGGTTAGCAAGTTAGCTAACTTCCTATTTTATTTCTATGGGGCTCGTAATTGGATCGTAATTGGGGAATGTAGCTTGAAACGTTTGAAGCCCTTCCTCTTTTTTTGGTTGCTTACGAATGGCACAATGGCTGAATATTGGTCATAGCTGTCCGTTGGCGTGAACAGTGCCGGAAGTGAGCGTGCATACGAGCTATTTTGAGCATGTTACAGCTAGCTGGACAGCTACAGTAGCTCTCTAACAAGTCCTGCAACTAGTTGGTGTCAGTCGCCAAGCTTTTTTTAATACACTTATTTTGCAAGGATGCGTTTCTTTGTGCCGCTTTCTTTAATGACCCGACAATAAAACTCTTTAATGAGGTTCTCTGTTGGTTTATTCAGACGAGTCAAAAGAAATAAGACTGAGTAACAGAAGCCCAGTTTCTAATAAAATGTCAGCGAAGAAGAATAGCGTGATAGCGAAGGGGAAATGAAATGATGAAGAGCGGATTAGAGCGCTGTGTTGCGACGGCGTCAGACGCTGATGAAAGAGAGGACAAGAGAAGGTCGGTGGAAAGATGGAGAGGAGACATTTAGAAAAGATGGACATAAGGAGGAGACGGATGGCTAAGCAGTCGACTCCTGGGATGAAGGGATGAAGGGATGAAGGGGATGTATAGACGGGAGACGAGGGATTGATGGATAAGAAACGCCGGCGGTCGGGATGATCTCATCAGTCAGAGAAAGTGCTGCATCACGTACGAGAGAGAGAGAGAGAGAGAGAGAGAGAGAGAGAGAGAGAGAG